GTTAAATAAGCCTCTCAGCAAGGTGAATTCTGACTTGCATTTCCCAAAATGCCCTGTTCTTCAGACCAAGCTCCAAACACCTAGAGGATTCAGCATTTAGTTAAAGTGGAGAAGCAATTCCTTTGGGATTGTTGCTTTAGCATAGTGACAGCAGGTAGACAGCTTGGCAGCAGCCTGTATTCTCTAAAGAATAGGAAAGGAGACACTTGTGAGGGGTGATCTTTCCCACACATGTTTTTAAAGTCACAGTGGACATGCCCATGTAAGTTCAAGTTATCTTGCTCTGACCAACAACAGCAGGGAGAGGTTCTTGTTTTTAAAGATTCAAGCAAGCAAAGCATCCCAACCATGTCTGTGAATCAATGGAGAGCCCCAGGCAAAGATGAAAGCATGCAAAGCCTGCTGCTATTGAGAGTATGCAAGCACGACCATGCACACACACAAAACCAACACGAAAGACAGTTACACTGGGCACAGACCTGCTATACATATGTGCAGGGCCAGCGTTATGACAGCTTAGGCAGTAGCTTCTATCATCTGACTTGAAAGATTCAGAAGAGTTCCTTATATTACTGAGTTGAAAAGGTTTGAAAAAGACAGTTCCTTGAAGGACCAGTACTCAGATTAAGGGTAGTTTTGATGTGGCAATGATATAAAAGCTCAAGATGATTTCCCAAGACAGACCCTCGCCATGCACACCTCACTACTCAGCTAGGACCTAACCTTGGAAAAAGATGAATTAGATAGGCTGCCTTGGATGTGAGATGCATAATCAGAACAGGTTATATAAATGGGGGAGCAACTACATTTTAGTGACTGTGTGAATCAGGAAAAACAAAGCACATACAAGGCTACCATCCACAATTCAGAAGAAAAGGGAGTTTAGAAGCTGGGAGTGCACAAAATGGCAGTTGAGCTGAACAAAGTGGCTCAATGAACCCTACCTGCCAAGAACATACATGAAGGCTCTCTAAGGGCCATTTGGAGGTGATATAGCCTGGGGAAGGGAGTAGGCGCAAGAGCTTTCTCTTTGAAATGGAGAGTTTGCCTGAGAAGTAGATTTTTTTTTCTAGATTTCTGTCTGCATGCAGTGTCAGTCAAGATTGCTGCAAATTAAAAAAGAATACTGTCCCAAAATTTAGACAATTTACACTGACACTGGATGACTGATATTGTGCCAAGATTACAGTAAGTACTAGTAATCCAGGAGAAAAAAGGAGCTAAGAGTTATTCTTGTGAAAAATGGATGACATGGAGTGTGTAAATAATGGGAGCAAATGCAGCAAGATACTGGGAATCTTAGAACATTTAAAGTCTAATACATTACAAAGAGAGTTCAATACTGATAAATGTAGAATAATAAGTTTTATGGGGCTTTATCATATGCTGTAAGTTGGTGTGGATCATAAAATATGAAGAATAAAAAAAGTAGGGGAGTTGAAAGACAAGTCTGTGCGCATTATTTATGAGTGATGACGAGTGAAATGAATGAGAAGAACAGGTAGACAGTGTCTTGAATAATGATGACTTTGATGAGTCGTTACCACACAAATCTGTGTGCTTCATAAAATATGAGAAATATTAAGGAGCAGAAGAGTCAAAAGACAAGCCTACTCAGAATGAGATACAGAATGAAGGAAGTGAGGAATACAAGGAAATGCACAGAATAATGATGACTTTATGAGACTTTCACTCACCAGCCTGGATCCTTCATAAATATAAACCATATAGAAAATAAAAGAGCAGCAAAAAGAAGAGACAGGTCTGTGTCTGTCATAAAATATGAGAAAATAATGCCAACTACGCTCGACAAAATAAAAACAAAAATAATTGAGCCTAGTACACCTGTGGAAAGATAAAATTTTTAGATTAATGTGAACAAATAAAATGAGTGAGTGTAGAATTGTCTTGCCCGTAGGGAATCAGCAAGCACCTAAGTAAGCCTTATTGTTGCAGAGGCCGCCTTGTTAACTGGCAGAGGCTTGGTGAATTCATAATTAGCCCCCACCACTCCCCAAAACATCCAACAGCATTTAGGGTCTGGAAACTATATTTAACCATTAATTTCTAAACAGTTTGGCCTCATATACAGTCTCTCCTCAGCCCCTCTGGCTCCAATCCTTATGTAGTCTGCAGGAGATTTTTTCAGCTTGTTTCTGCTTAATCTATACCCGCCTTGTCAAATATTGCTTTGTGAAGACCTTTAAAAGGTTGCTGTATAGAACCAGAGATGTCCTTTTATTTTCATTTCTTGTTACATTGGACTTCGAATCTGGGACCAAATCTATCAGGATTAGCTCAAAATCCAGAACTCAATGATGTCAAACATCTTCTCTATTAGAACAAATGGGATTTCAAAATGATACATAGACTGAGACAATCAGACATGGCAAAACAAGTGTCAATATGCCATCTGCATGCCATTCAGAACCATGATTTACATAATTCATAAAATGGACAGCTCTCTGGAAAAAAAGAAAGCCATTGATCTATGTCACAAAACTAGGAATGTTCTGAGAGCTCACAATATACACAGACACTAATAGCAACAATTATACTATCTTACCTTTGTGTAATACTTAATGGCTTGTGATTTGTGGTGGGTAAGGCCTTAGGTAATGCAGGATAAATCCTATTAGCATAATTTATAACCAATTCCTCTGATTGCAACAGAATTTAGTGGTAATGTTTATTGACTAAAACATATAACACAAATTTTGGCTGATAACCATCTTTTGCTTATTTGTTTGTTTCTCAAATGATCTCACCTTGATTTACAAATTCTGTTAGAAGAATGTATAATCCCAGGGTGGAATTATTAGGGTTACTTTGGAAAGCCGTGTTTGCCTGAATAACATGGTCCCTTTTAATCCAAGATTGAGCAACCCTGGATACCCCGATTCTCATTTGGTGAAAAAAAACAACATTGATGCCCTAGGAAAAATCATTGATCCTGCTCAACCTTCCTCAACCCTGCCAACTCCAGCTATAAAATGCATGTTCAAGAGCTCAGGGCTGCAAGATTAGGATTGGACTCTGGTGAAAAAAACTGTCCCCTCCCCATCCCCTGAATAATGGCAAACCAGTGAAAAATCTTTGCTTGAGTTTGGTCCCAGGGCCCTCTTCTTTTTTTTAAGTGGAAAGATTTGTACTGTCTTTTTTGGGGGGGGGAACATAGTTGATTGTACATATATGTGGGGTACAGAGTTGAATATCATTACTTGTGTGAAACGTTACTAATGTTGACTTATGCATCACATAGTATATTCAACATTATACAATGTAATCGTTTTTCATGGCCCTTTACCAATTCCTCCCTTCCACCTCTCCCAGTCCCCTTTTTCCACCTCTGCTAACCTCACTTCTGTTCTCTCCTTTTTAAAGTTCAACAAGTTATTCTGTTTGTTGTATTTGTTTATTTATTTATTTGTTTGTTTATTTTTTAGCTCCCACTTGTGAGTGAGGTCATGTGGCATTTCTCTTTCTATGCCTGGCTTATTTCACTTAACATGGTTTTCTCTAAGTTCATCCATGTTGCTGAAAATGGCAGTATTTCATTCTTTTTATGGTAGAGTAGTATTCCATGGTGTATATATATCACATTTTCCTTATCCAGTCATCCAATGATGGACATTTAGGTTGGGTCCAACTCTTGGCTGTTATAAATAGAGCTGCGACAAAAATCGGGGTGGGTGGGTATCCCTTCGGCATGATGATTTCCATTCCTTTTAGTACATACCCAGAAGTGGGATTGCTGGATCATATGGCAGATCTATCTATAGTTGTTTGAGAAACCGCCATACTGTTTTCCATAATGGTTACACTAATTCTCAGTCCCACCAACAGTGTACAAGTGTACTCCTTTCTCCACATCCTTACCAGCATTTGTTATTCTTTGTCTTTTTTGATAACAGCCAGTCTAACTGGGGTGAGATATCTCAGTGTCGTTTTGGTTTTCATTTCCCTGATGCTGAGTGATGTTGAGCATTTTTTCATGTGTTAGCTGGCCATTTGTATATCCTCTTTTCAGAAATGTCACGGCCCTCTTCTTAACTGCCAGGCTCCTGAAGTTTGTTACAGCTTTGTAGGCCAGACTGTAGTGGACATTTTAATTGTCTATATCCCTGGGAGAGAGCCCTGTTTAAGGGCTAGTTTAATAAAAATCCCATTATTTGGCAAGGATGAGACTTATTCATTTAAAGAGAAAATGTCGTGAAATATTTTATTTAAATTAGGCAAGAAAAATAGGATACCATAGTAAGAAATAATGTCCTTTTTGTAGACTTTAACTTAAAGCTCACTCAACTAAGTTTGCTTGTTTGTGTGGTTGGTGGGTCGGTTGTTTTTCCAGAAAAAGTGATTTGGCAGTGTATATCTATAGCCTAAAAAATATTCATACCTGTGTGTGTAAATGTATACAAAATGCACACAACGATTGATGCTGATGACTACCTCTGGTGAGAAGACCAGGAAGTGGGAAAGAGGTGGTCAGCAAGGACTTTAGTCATATCTATAATGTGTTTATGTATTACCTAATGCAATTAATTTTAATTTTTATAGAAAAAAAGTATCCTTCCACAGCTAGGACTCTCTTCTAAGGAAATAAGAAATTCAATGTAGAAAAAATTAAGAAACAACTAAATGTCCTGAAATAGGGGGTGGGTAAAACAAGTTACAGAATACTATTTTAAGGGTATAGTATATAATAACAAGATGATATATTAAGAAATTTCTAATTACACTGAACTGTGTTGATAATACACTGTTTACTTATAAAATACCAGTATTCAGAACTACACTTAGTGTGATCCCAATTTTAATAGGTAAAAAAGATGTACATATCCTCCCCAAAATGTTATTAGCAGTTGTTACTGGTTGGTAAAATTATTGTTTTATTTGTTATACTTAACTGTGTTTTCCAAAGCTTCTACAACTTGGCTTCTAGAATCTAGCTTCAACATGATTTTTAAAATGTAATTTGAATTGGTCTTGTGTTGCAGGCGTGCCTGTGTGATTCGAGGCCAAGTGGTGGCCGTAGATGGAACCCCTTTAGTAGGGGTCAATGTCAGTTTCTTGCACCACAGCGATTATGGATTTACCATCAGCCGGCAAGATGGAAGGTACGTCAATATTGCTTCTCACCATTATGAGAGCCAAATACTGACTTTAGCCATGGGTAAAACCAGGGCTTAGATGATACAGTGATGGTAAGCCCATCTTCTTTCCAGCTATATCTAGAAAACTCATAGGTGATATTTATTTCCTCTATTTCTCATCTGATTCAAACCAAATTTCTCTTCTAACCCTTTACTGGTTAACTCTTCTTGAAATCCTGGTCATGTGAAAAGCTTTCTATCCTTCATCTAATTCCATTTGTAAATCCAGAGTCAAAGTTCAGTGAGATGATGCAAATAATAAATAGGGAACCATGGAACACTTAGGCTGTGCCTCCACAACAGCTCCAAAATATTTTAGAAAGGAATGTGTCCAAAAGACTTATTCCAAAAGTACAGAATTCATTCACATTAATTAAAAGTTTTTTTTTTTTAATGCATCCTCCCTAGGTTGCCTGTTTGACTAGGGGCTGCAACTGATTGACAAGCATGGCCAGCCTACATAACTACAGTCATTTAACCTTAAGCACCAACCACCAGGCTGCTCTCTAAGGGCTTCTCCTGGTTCTCTAAGACCTAGGAATCAAGATGTCTAAGTAGAACCTTTTCATCCTGGAAAAGGATTTGCTCACAAAAACATTTTTGTTGCTGTCATTTAGTTAGACATTTGTTCAGAATATTTGAGTCAATAGGCCCATGTGTTCAGCTTAAAGGTACCTATTTATGAATCTCAGGAGCACTGTAATAATGGCCTTGCAGTACCCTAGTCTCCGGGTGGCTACCCTTAAAATGCCCTACTTACAATAAGCCACTTCAATACTCACAAAAAAGACCTGTTGGCTTGGAGTTTTATCACAGTGTGAGAGACTATCTCATTTCAAGAACCTACAATCAAACCTTATTAGACCTAGCCGCTTCAGAAATGTTAATTGTTCAACTTAGGGTATGCTTTATTTGTTTTTTCAATTGCCTGTCAAGAAAGTGCTCATAAAGAATTAGTTAAAGAAGATATAAGGAAGAGTTTTAACCTATTTAAGAAAACAAGCTGTTTTTAAGGACTTTAGTAAATTATATCAATTATTTGTATGTAAATCATATTGTTAATTACTAACTAGCCATCTATTTATAACAAGCTCAGCAGAACTAACTACCTTGGTAGCAGGTAGTATATGTATATATATGTATGCATGTGTGTGTGCATATATATACTTGAATATATAATAAATACTACATTTCCTTTCAAATATTCCATAATTGGAGTGCTCTACTTATTCAAATGGACCTTTCTCCCAGTTAGAATAAATGATGGAATTTTGGTAATTCATTCACCAGTAACTAGTACACAAAACTAGCCTCTCCCTTGCCAGCATCTTCAACTATGTGCTGTAAATTGAGGAATGGATTATTTCTTTAAATAGAATATGCCCCCAGAGACATTTGACTTCTCATGACTTCTAGCAGAGAACTTACGGGTCCTCAGTTTTGCTTTTTGGTTTTTGTTTTTCGGTTTTTTTTTTTTAGCTTGCATACAAAGATTTCGGTGAATTATTTTATATTCACAAAAGAACCTAAAAGAATCTTGATGTCTAAAAAGTCTAGAAATTTCTGTTTATGGTTTACAGAGAATATTAAAGAGAGTAATTTTTTGTTGTTATTTTCGTGTTTTTAGTTTTAAGTAAAATGCCAAGACCCCCCTCTGCCAACTCATTGTGAGAACTAAGTTTATGTAGATGACAGATACTAGCCAGAGTCCCCTCTGGCAATAAGTTTCCCCTCAGGCTTCATAAAGGGTGTAAGCATTCAAAATATGTGCCCCAAATGCTAACCAGACTGTCCCACTGTCATTTCTTGGACATAAAGTGACAGTGTGATGAAAGTTTCCATTTATATGTCTCTGCTTATTGCTACCTCAGATTGAGTAAGTACATTTCAAAAGTACAAAATCATATGGAAAATATACCTGAGAACAATGGATTATAGAAAGCCTGAGATTAGCATTTAGATACCTAGAGTGTGATATGTGAGATGCTGAAAGGGTCCTCTGTGTCCAAATCTCAATCTCTCCAGTCTGGTGCAGTGCTTGTAACTCACCAGTGGCATCACCGCTTTGGGTTGAGCTATTGCTGTCTTGAAGTCCATGTTAAATGCAAATATGTTATGTGGGATGTAGAACTATTTACCTGCTTTATCAACCACTAGCAAAAGTTAATTGACAACTTTCCCTGGAGAACTAGAAAAGGTCTTTGTCAGGGGACCAAAATGATGTATACAAAACAGAAGGAAGGATGGTGGTGGAAGACTGAGCCCTTTAAAAGCATGAAAAAATTATATATTCATTTCTGTTTCTAGTTTACAGAGGACATTAAAGAAAGTAATTTTTGTTGTTATTTTCATTATTTTGTTGTTATTTTTGCTGTTATTTTTGTTATTATTAGATATGCAAATAGGGAAGGACCAGCGTAGCAGAAAAGAAAAACAGCAGTTCTAAAGGAAAGATAAATATTCGTGCGTGTCTACTGTATGCCAGACGCTTCCATTAGTGTCATTCTATTTTCATCCTTACAACCCAATGAGGTAGATATTATTATCATTCTCCCCATTCGGAAAATGAGAAAACATACCCAGATTAACACAGCTAATAATGAAAGAGCCCAAGATTTGAACCCAAGTAATCTGGCTCTTATCCCCTATGATTTACTACCTTCAACTTAGATATATAACTGGTACTCAGTGAAGCGTTAAAAGAGAACTATTTATAAATAGTTCAGCCAATGATAAGCAAAATAGGTGAAGTGATGATCTTCTTAGGAGATTCTTGAGAAGCATTAAAAGCCTTAAGAAATTTGTTTTGAAGACTGGAAGATGAAGAGAGGGTTCCCTCTGATTCCCCTCAAGGCAAAAGTTTGTTCATTTATGGATACCACAAGGCAGAGCATAGGTGCCAGTAGTGTTTCATCTATGAATAGGACTGGCTTGCCCTATTATGGATTGACAGCAATCTCCAAACAAATAAATTCTGTCCCTTGGGTCTTTTATATCCACTCTCATACAACTTTATAACCTTTTCTTAATAACCCATGCAAATGGGCATGACTTGTGGTAGGGGAAATCCCAAATCCTGTTCAGAGCATTCTATTTGGCATTGCAATGGTTTAGATGGATTTTTGGCCACAGATCCACCTTCCACCTCCATGTAAATTAATGAGTCTGGCAGGCAGCATTTACTATGTTAAACAGCTGGTGGGAAGAGGAGAAGTGTATCAGCCAGGGTTCTCCAGGGAAACAGAATATATATATGTATCTCCATATATATGTATCTCCTTATATATGTATCTCTATATATGTGTCTCCATATAAGTATGTATCTCCATATATAACCATATATACATATATAGGGAGAGAGAGATTTATTTCAGTTTATTGCAAGGAACTGGCTTACATGATTGTGGGAATGGCAAGTCTGAAATCTGTACAGCAGGCTGGCAGACTAGAAACTCTCCAGAAGGAGTTGATGTAGTGGTCTTAAGGCAAAATTTCTCTTTTCTCAAAGAAACCTCAGCTGTGTTCCTAAGACCTTCAACCAATTGGATGAAGCCCACCCACATTATCAAGAACAGTCTCCTTTTCTTAAATCCAACTGACTGTAGATACAGTAGTCCCCCTTAATCTGCAGAGAATATGTTCCAAGTCCCTCAGTGGATGCCTGAAATCACAGATGGTACCAAACCTTGTATATGCTATTTTTTTTCCTATACATACCTAACTATAATGATGTTTAATTTATAAATTAGACACAGTAAGAGATGAATAACAACTAAAAATAGAAAGCAATAATTATAACAATATACTGTAATAAAAGTTATGTGAATGTCATCGCTCTCAAAGTATCTGATTGTACTGTACTCATTCTTCTTGTGATGATGTGAGATGATAAAATGCCTACTTGATGAGGTGAAGTGAGATGAAAGATGTAGGCATTATGATGTAGCATTCAAAACTTATGAATTGTTTATTTCTATAACTTTTCATTTAATATTTTCAGACTGCAGTTGACTGTGCATAACTAAAATCACAGAAAGAGGAACTGCAGACAAGAGGGGACTACTGTATTAGCCTCAACTACAAAATACCTCCACAGAAACACCTAGATTGATGTTTGAATAACTCAGTAGTGTATAACCAAACCAAGTTGAGACATAAAACTGACCATCAAAAGAAGCCTAGGGGAAGTACCAAGGAGAAATTAAAAATCGGTATCTGCTCATGGAGATAATCAAAAGCTCGTTTATACTTCATTTAAACTACAAGAAAGGAAAACATACAGTAAATTTATTAGGGTAATGGTCTGATTTGAGAAGAAAGTCGACATTTGTTGAGTCCCTACTGTATTCTTGGCTCATAAGACTTTTCTCATTTACTTACTTAAAATAACAGCTAAGAGGTCATATAGGTCCATTATACTAATGAGAAAACTGCAGCTCATGGAGGTTAAACAACTAGCCCGAAGACACAAAGTTATCATGGCGGAGCTGGGATTTGATCCCAGATATGTATGAAGCCAAACTTACATTGTTTTCTACAAAACAAGATGCCTGCCCTGTCTGCTTAATCTTTCTAGAAGTAGAGAATAATTCCTAGATACATACAGATACATATGTCCTTGTTTGGATAGTTAGTTTAGTTTTTGTGTTTGGATTTTTTTGTTTGTTTGTTTGTTTTTAAATAAATAAGCACTGAAGTTTTAAGGAATCAAGAGTCAAGGTTTGAGTGAAGCAAATAAACTTACCCAAGGACAGAGAGTTAAATCAACATAGAAGGTGAACTAGAGGATAGCTTTCTTGACAAGTAGTGTCAGATTTTCCCTCACTACACTTGCCTTAAACTGCTCCTGTATTATCACGAATTCAGCCTCTCTGTCTTAAACCATAAGCCATTTGGGTTTTTCTTTTTTCAGTTCAAACCTAGATTATTTTCTATAGCTAATGCAGTTCTTCAAATCCTCTTTTTGGAAACTGCCGTGATATTACAGCTACTTCTCTGAAAAAGCAAAAATAAAAAATACAGTACTATCCATCATTTGTTACTATTCATTTATCTTTATCTAGGAGATTTCTACAACAAGACACAATTGGTAACAGTATAATAAATATAATAAATGTCATAGAAGAGAGTGGTAAGATGTCCATAATTAAGTCTGATTCCCTATCAGGGCTTTTTATCATTGAAAAAGTGTTTTACTGAAAGATCTTTTTTAATGCAGGGAATTGCTTACATCTCTCTCCTGTGGATTTAAGTTGCCTTGAATATTAAGGAGTGTTACATTGCCCTTTATCCATTTTTAAGATACGGTGATAATATGTTATCATTATCTTACTTTTATATAGTATTTTATGCTTTTTGAATGCTCTCAAGTACATTATCTGAAAGACATCATTATACTTAAAAGAGAAGTAAGGTAGAACCATCTAGTGTAGAATGAACTGAAATCAAAGTCTGTTATGCTCTAATGCAATAGTCTTATCGGAAACCACATAGAAGGAATTGGTGGTGCAGGTGGGCAGGGTCCATTACGGGCTGTCTTACAAAAAGAAACCAAGAGCCTTTCTGGAGTGAAACAAAAATCCTAAATCTGCAATTCAAATAGAACAGGGAGCCAAACAAGGTAGTCAGATGTGGAGGGCTCAGGCATGGTACAGTTCAGCCACATTTTTCCTCTGCTGGTATCTTTCTCCAAATGCCATCTCAAAGACACCGTCTGGTTTCTGACACTATGTTTGTGACCCTGAACAAGATATTTAACCTTTTGGCTCCTCACTTTTCTTATATTACATTACAGGAATTTCTTTGAAGATGAATAATGCATTGTATTAAAGATGCTGCTGAATGTTAAATGGTCATTTTTCTGTTATTGTTAGCACAAGGGAGAGCAACAATGTTAGATCTGGCTTTGCAGAAATGCATGCAGTGATTTTGTTTAAGATATTAAAATTAGTTTACAAATTTTGGGTGGATATCAACTTATGATATGGAATTTCTTCTCAGAAGTCTACTGGACAGTGAAAAGAAGTCATCTATAGAATGAATATTTAGCTAGAGGGAATTCATAAAGTAGAGAAACAAATGGATATAGTTGAGTCCCCACAAAAGGAAAGGGCACTAAAATTAACCTACTTTTAACTTTAATTTTATTTTGGTTGTTCATTTGGTTGAAACTGTCATATTTTTTCTTTCTCAGCTTTGACCTTGTAGCCATCGGCGGTATCTCTGTCATTTTAATCTTTGACCGATCACCTTTCCTGTCTGAGAAAAGGACACTCTGGTTGCCCTGGAATCAGTTTATTGTGGTGGAGAAAGTAATCATGCAGAGAGGTGTATCAGACCCACCATCTTGCGATATCTCCAACTTTATCAGCCCAAACCCTATTGTGCTTCCTTCACCACTCACATTGTTTGGAGGGTCCTGTCCAGAGAGGGGAACTATTGTTCCTGAGCTGCAGGTGGGTATATTGGCCTTTAAATATACAAAATCATAGTACCATGGTGTAGTCACCAGTGTATAATGGCTAGATTTCTTTTCCTATTGTTTCAGCCAGCCCTATAATGTGCTGCCTTTTGTTTGCCAAGAGAAGCCTTCAAATGTAGTCTCTCTGGCACACATTTGCAAGGTGATTGGCCAGGCATTAGGGTGCTGTCTGTGGCCATGGAATAGAGTAAGATGAACTACCTGTCTTGAGAATTAAACCCTAAACCTTGACCTAATGGGTATTGTGCTTTAAAAAACAAAGCTAGCTGGCTTAATCGTGATAATGGTATAATCAATGAGCTTGGTCCGTTTGTGGTTCTGAAATTAAGACTCCTTAAGAAATCTAGTGTTCTTCCATTGTCTAGTTTGCATCCATTGTCATTATTCTTAGAATTCATGACAACTCCTCTTGTTTAGCTGTATTTAATAAAGGTAGTTTTGAAGACTGTGGGTTTTTTTTAAACTTTTGCTTCTGAGTGTTCAAGCTTTATAGTCAGAAGAAGACATTTTTAAACCTTGATATTCTAGCATTCCCGAGAATTCTTCTTTACTGAACATTCAATATTGTCATTTCAATATTAAGCCATTCAAACAGCCATAGTACAATTCTGCCACTGCATTACAGAAACATTTTAATATAGTTAAAGGGGGAAGCTACCAAAATGGACTCATAAGTCTTACAGATCCAGAAATCAAGAAGTATACTCAAAAAGAGGTAAAGGGACACTCAAAGATTAAATTGGTTTTTCTTCCATCACAACATCCCCACCAGCTATTGGCAGTGCCCAGAAGATACCATGTAGGAAAGGTTCGCAAAAAAATAATGCTCTACAGGAAAAGCAGTTCAAAGAGTTGCCCCTCCTGTCTTTTCCTTTGCTTTTCTTTAGAAAGGAAGAAGGAACATGACAGTATTTAATGAGTACATTGATTGGTACACCAATCCCTTCACAGATGTCATTTGTAAGTATGGGTCTTCATATCCAGGATTGCATGTTTTCTTGGGGAAATGAAAGAGTAAGGTGGCAACATGCTATCCTTCACTACTGTTCTTCTGCCACCATCTGAGAAGATAGCCAGTGGACAACTCTGGTGTCATGTAGCTAATACAGAGAAAGAAAATCTGGGCAAAGAGTACATAAGAGTGATTGTGTCCTCAGAAACAGGAGAATGACCAAAATTCCTGGACAATATAAGATATCATGTGTTTAACAATCCGTTTTGCTATGTGCACAAGTTTGAAAAAGTAGGAGGGGACAAGGTTCTGAGGTAAAAATGCATGAGGGCACAAAATATCCACACTATCCATTTCACCTGAAATGTGTTGAATAGGATGGGCTTTTACTTCAGATGTGTTTTGAAAGATGAAAGTCATGGAACACTAGATTCAGCCTTAGTAACCACTTTTGATTATTTGACTCTATCTGTGATAATAAGCAAATAAGTAATAGCAATTAAGTTAAGAAGCCAAGTGGTATTTTCACTCTGAGACCAACGTTTAGTATAAAATTTGCAGAGGAATTAGTGGGAGTTATTTGCTTCTCAGTCACAAGTGCCAACTTGGAGAAACTTGTTCTCAGCCATTGATACATCCAGGCACAGAGAAATATGTAAGAAAAATTTGATTAAAAATTTGTCCTTGGGGTCATTCCAAAGCTCCAAAGAAAACGAATTTGATGGCATCAGTAAAGATTAATTCTAGGGAAACCATAATCTTTGGCATAAACTATTGTTTGCTGGTCCTGCTTCTGTAGTCCTTCCTCTTAGCCTAACCTGAATAATAATTGCAGCAATGGTTTTGTGATATATAACTTAACACCAAACAAGATTTTGTGTGTGTATGTATAAGAAAAAGACCCCTTCACAGAGCCCATAGCACTGAATTGCTTGACATTCAGCAGTGTGAACTTTTCCAACTTCTACTAAGCAATTTTTGGAACACTGTGGAAAACTGAAATTGTTCTTTACACAATCTTTCCTGGCAGGGGAAAAATGAGAGCAATCCTTAGGGTTGACTGGATGTCTTATCCCCATGGAGATTCAGTGCAAAATTCAAAACCTGCGGTCACACAGTCTCACAAAGATTCTAGTACGAATGTCTTTACATTCATAGATCCCTTTAGGCTCTCTCCGTCAGCATGTTTCTAAGACAACAAAGCATGTAATAACCTCGTCCACCCGTGACCACTGATGAGCCAATTTGGCTTTTTTTTTTTTTTTTTCCTTTCAGGTTGTACAGGAGGAAATCCCTATTCCTTCTAGCTTTGTGAGGCTGAGTTACCTAAGCAGCCGCACCCCTGGGTATAAAACCTTGCTACGGATCCTTCTGACACATTCAACAATTCCTGTGGGGATGATAAAAGTACACCTCACCGTAGCTGTGGAAGGGCGACTCACACAGAAGTGGTTTCCTGCTGGAATTAATCTTGTTTACACATTTGCCTGGAACAAGACCGACATCTATGGACAGAAGGTTTGGGGACTGTCAGAGGCTTTGGGTACGTTGAAGTAATTCTATGTAAATAACAGTATTATGTTCACAAAATAGAAAATACCGGTTGCGTATTAATTTGTATTTAGAATAATTATTGATTTTCTTCTATTTAAAGGATCCATGGCATTTTTTCATTTAAACTCTCCCATTAGGCCTGTTTAGAGTTCCCTTTTGACACATTTTTGCTTCAAAATGATTTTAGTTCCCCTTTCGTGATGGCTGCATACCAGTGGAATCACGCAGTATCTGACTTGTAACTGTCTCCAGAGCTGAACGTTGCCTTCTAACTGTGACCTTTGGTGTGGCGTTCTTTAGGCCATGTTTTTGAATTTGACATTTAGACTGTCATTTCCACTTAGAAACTACAAAATTCTAACTTGTAGGCATCTCCACTTATTATCTTCTATGTCTAAGATGCTTAGATTCCATTAACTTGTTACTTCAGTAGGTTAAATAAAAAATCATCTCGACTTCCTATTCCTTTTGATTTTCTGTAATCTCAAGACTTTAAAACCTAGAAGCTTAGAGATAGCAGGGCCCTTAAGAGGTGCTTTGGGCCTATGGTTTTTAGATATTTAATTCTCACACACAAATGACATTATTTTAAAATGAGACTGAGACAGATTTGCCAGTTTGGGGTTTTTTTTTTGCCAATTAAGAATATTTTTAAAAGAAAAAAAAACTCACTACAATCTACTATTTCCTACCACTTCCATTATTTTATAAAGGAGGGATACCTTAACACCAAAAAAAGGGAAATAGTCTGTCTTAAATGACAGTAAGCAATCTAACACTGAAACGGAGAAAGAGACAGACAGAGACATACAGAGAGAGACAGAGACACCAAAGTCTTTATTTCTCTCACTCTGTAGAAGATAATGAAAGCTTCCTAAGTACAGGTCCATGGACCTGCAGTTGGGAGCCATTGATCCTTGTGCCTTCAGGCAGTATCTCATGGAAGCCACTCTTGGACAAATGAGAAGATTATTTTAAAGCTCTCCAGAGGAGACATTTTCACATCCTTGGAATGTCTATCATGGTACAACTCCCATGTAGCTGACCTATATTTCTTAGACTATAGTGTATTGATTTCCTCTCTTTCCAGAGGAAAATATAAAGAGAAAACAGACTGGTGACCCATCTCTATCCAATAGACACTCGTGTGTTTAAATAATTAACTCATCTGTGTTGTACTTTATTAGAATGCAAGGAACATGGACAGATTCAGATTTCCTCAGTTTATTAGTCCACTTCTGTTGCTTATAACAAAATACACAGAACTGGGTAATTTATAAGAAAACAAAATTTATTGCTTACAGTGTCAGAGGCTGGGAAGTCCAAAGTCCAGGGAACACATCTGGTGAAGGCTTTCTTTGGTGGTGACTTCAATGATGGCAGGCTATCACATTGCAAAAAAATGGCAGAGCAGAGAGAGAGAGAGACTTCCCTGTCTCTTCTTTAAAGCCTTCAGAGCTATACCCCTGACCACCATTTTTAATCCATTCACTACAGCACGGTCCTACAATCCAATCACCTCTTCAAGCCTCTACCCTTCAATCACCATAACAGGATTTTCCACCCTCCTAGCAGTTACAGTGGAGGCCAAGTTTCTAATACATAAAACTTGAGGGACACAAATCAAGCGTCAGTGAGTTTGGGAGGCATAATTCAATCCACTACACTCGGCTAATGGGGAGCTATTGTAAAGACATATGGGAAAGTAAAAAAGAGCAAGAAACAGCATCAGCAGCCTTACAGGCTTTGTTCAGGATACATGGTAGTTCTAGAAGACCAGCATCTGCTCTGTCAACTCAACAACAGCTCTAGTTGTCCCCTCTGCAGCAAGAGTCCACTGCTTCCCACAGTGGTGACTCAGCCGTATCTATGACTGAGCTCATCTCCTGCCATACCAACTTCCATCTTTTTTTTCTCAGCTCTTCAAACTCTACAGTTTGCTAACTTGATCTGTATCTTGTATTCAGATTCCTCCAGGAGAGATTATCATATTGTTTGAGACAGTCACCATACAGTACAGAACACTCCATAAGGCAGAACTCTACCATTAGGCTGACTACCACCGCCATTGCTGGCCAGAGTCCAGAGTCCTGCTCAATCCCTATTCCATGAATGTAGTGGTTAAGAAAACAACTCTGAAGCCAGACTCCCTCCCTGCATTCAAATCATTCCTTCTCTACTTACTAGCTGTCTAACACTGGGTAAATTACTTAATCTCCACATGCCACAGTTTCTCCATCTATAAAATGGGTATCATAAAGATTATGCTACTCATAGGTTCATTATGATATGACAATTAAATGAGGTGAATAATGTAGAGTGCTTGGTACATTGTAAGCACTCAAAACATGTTTTTTGCTGATATTTTATTGTTGTTGTTTGTTTGTTTGTTTGTTTTCATTTTTGGGTTGTTTTTTTTTTTTTTTTCAATTTTGCTGTGGCCAGAGTATTGGGATCACATGGTATAAAGCATGGAGCCTATGCAGGTGTTTGTTACCTCAGCTGCTCTTAGAAGAGGGCTATGGTATAACAGGCAGGCACTCTGTGCTACTTATCCCCCATTTGCCCTCCCCGCCACACACACACAACACACATACATATAAACACACACACAATTTCTTTTCTTCTCCTCTCTGTGCTCTGAGAGGCTGGCTTCTATGGACTGCATTGCCTGAACGCCTTTGCACTCTGGCTTCCCATTTGATTTGGTCAATGGGCAGCACCATCCAGAGACTGCAGGGTGGAAGGAGAACAAGATCAGTATATTTAGCCCTCTCCCTGCTTTACTGCAGTTCTGGCAGTGACTGCATGAGAAGGTAGCAGCTTCTGTTGAGTAACCCCCCTCCAAATCTCCAAGCCCCCTCTGTTTTCTGTGTTATCATTCCTTCCCCTTGTCCCTGCAAGCCCAGGAGGCTTCCCAGTGTTGCCAGTACCTGGGTGGGTCTCCATCCCTTGTTGATCTCCTTAACCCTGCCCACACCTTCATTCAAACTCTTCAGCGAACACTTACAAGTGTGACATATCATTCCTGCTGGGACTGACTGATACATGCTCAAAGCCTTATATTCCCCTCTCCAGGATGTTATCCTATAGTATTTGCTTCACTAGGCAAAGTAATACAAAATTCATCTAACTTTTCTCTGTAGGTCTTGTTTTTCAATTATTTATGACCTTCCTGAGACTCCTGCTGGGTTCTGGGGGGGGTTTTGTTGTTGTTGTTTGACGTTTTTAAGTTGTGACACTTAGAAATTTACCCTGTACTCTCATGAAGAGCTGGCCAGTTAATATCTAGCAGTCATTTCTGGCTAGCCTCCACATAAATACACTCAACCTCATTATTTAAAAGAACAGTTTTCTTAAGATATAATTCACATACCATAAAGTTCACCCATTTAAAGTGTACAATTCAGTGGTTTTTAGTATTTTCACAAGGTTGTACAGCCATCACCAATATCCAATTCCAGAACATTTTCATCATCACCCCACAAAGCAACTCCATATGCATTAGCCGTTATTCCTTACTCCTCCTCTACCCTGGCCCTGGCAACCACTGTTTTGGGGGAGTTTTTTGGTTTTGTTTTTTGGAGTGTTTTTGGTCTTTATAGATTTACCTATTCTGGATATTTCAAACAATGGAATCATGCAATATGTGGTCTTTTGTGTCTGACTTCATTCACTTGGCATAATGTTTCCAAGGTTCATCCACATCATAGCATGTATCAGTACTTCATTCTTTTGTATGACTGAGTGATATTCTGTTGTATAGACATACCACATTTAGTAGTCCATTCATCAGCTGATGGACATTTGGGTTGTTTTCACCTTTTGGTGACTTTGAATAGTGCTGCTATAAACATTCATATACAAGTATTTATTTCAATACTTGTTTTCAATTTGGGGGGTATATTCCTAGAAGTGGAATGCTGGATCATATGGTAATTCTATGTTAAACTTACTGAGAAACTGCCAAACTGTTTTCCACAGTGGCTGCGCCTTTTTATCAACCTCTCTTTATATATGAGATGTGTTACATCTTTTCCTTTTAAATACTTACAGTGCTAATAATTCTAAAATCTTCCTCCTTGTTCTAGTTAAGCACCCTCAGTGATTCCATGGATAACTGAGCAAACAGCTAATCACAAATATAAGCAAAGACTTTCTAGTATGGACACCAATGATAAAACCTCTATTCCTATTTTTTGCCTATGGATGTCAGTTTACTTTCTGTTTCTAAAATTGTGTCCCTCGTCAAAACTTTCTCAAGCATTCTAAGTATAAAACAGCCTATAATTAATGTGCTGTAATATATGTTGTTGGTTCCCTTTTAATGCTAATAACAGTAATAAAAGCAAGAGACTATAGACCCACTTAGAAATATTCAAAGAGGGAGAGCAAAAAAATGTTCTTCATGGTATTTTATGTGCACTTGAGGGACACATTTTTTTTTTAGGGTGAGAAAGAAAACTAGTAAGGCTCCCAAGGAAGACCACCAAAATAGTTTCACATGTCATCATACCTAGAATGGAATATGGATTATTTACCTTGCAGGAAATCTCCCTGATAACTTAATCGTGGTTTTCTAATGGTTAAGGGGATTTTATTTACTACCTAGTCTTTATCTCCATCTCTATGGATACTAGGAGAATTTTTTGATGATGGTAAGGCATTTGAACAGGAGGCAGAATGAAGCTGAAGAATCTACTATCTGAAGATAGATTGTGAACTCCTTAAGAACACAATAGACAACAAATAGTTTAGGTGATAAATGGATGGAGAAAAAGGGATCAGATATGTAACCATTGATCTGATACCTTAATGTCTACAATTGAATCTAAGCAAATAAAGAAAGAAAAAAGGAAACATTTATTTGTACTCCTGGTAATATTGTGTGATCATTTAACTGACATGGGAATAAGCAGACTAAATTTTGCACCAAATATCAATAATGGTGCTATACATGGCACTTCTCAGATTTGCTTCGGATCAGAA